TTCCAAAACTTCAACATATCCGCCCCTCCTTTAGAGCGCAAACAATGTACTTCCTACCCACCTCCATGACTTAAGTCCAGCTAACCAGTTTCCCCGAATCCCTTCATGTTACTTTGCTCACACTCCAACAGCACGTCAAGTCACGTAAATTCCTGGTAAACACACCCCTACACCTCCACTCGTTCCTAACACGTTCACACTACAGTATTTAATCAAAATACAAGTATACAAACTTTGTAATATCAACAATGTGCTAGTTGTAATTATAGTTTTGTTTCAAACACGACACAATTATAATTAATATTATTTAAAAATTATTATCATAGATATTATTAGTTCTGCCCGAAATGCTGCATATATTATTTAATTTTCAACACATGAGGGACAAGTCCCTACATAGTAACATTTATTATTAGACCAATAAATGTACTCCATTGACACGGTAATATTGTTCGCCTTCACCGTGAGAAAAATACTCACAAGCAAAAGTCAGGCCTCGCCTAAAATCACCAAAATGTGATCACAAATCAGCAAGAAAACAGACGATGTTGGAATACGGCAGGGGCAATCAGGATTATTACCAACGATGATAAAATTGTCCCCCAGAGATTCCACCATAGCCGTTGCTCTAGAGTGGCAAACATCCATCCATGTACTTGATAAAGACTTTTGCCAACATGTTTTTTTTTTTCCCAGCACTAGTGGGTACACCGCTTCACTCCAATTATTTGGGACTGCACCACACTGTCTTATAACTGTGAACATTTATAACTGTGAACATTATCCATCTATCTGTCAACTGATGTGAAGGTTTGACTTGCAACAAGGCACCTCCCTGGAAGGTAATATTACTGTTGACTCCTAGTCTCTCCGCCTCCCAGCAGAAATCCTTCGTTGTCATCTTGAAAAATCTTTGGGGAAACCTTTAAAAGTTAGATTTGACTTATCTTACCGATTTTTAATTCCAGCAACACAAAATCAATAATCACAAAGGCTTAAGAAGACGAAAATTCGTATACACAAATGGTATGTGCATATGGTTGTCAGTGTAGCTTCACGTCCAATATGGCTGACAAAACAGAGTTGGTAACCTGAGACATCGCGTGAAAAATCTCAACGGATAACTTTACAGAATGAGAAGTGATTAGTGATGGTACGATTGTTAGTAGCAGTTGCACTGATTAATGATAATAATGGTAATTTGTATTTACAATTATGATAACAGTAATTGCAGTTAAAATGGTGACTATAGTTACGATAATTATGATAATGGTGTTAATTAAAATAATAGTTAATTTGAAAATGATTATGGTGAAGATGAGAATGATTAACCAAGATTAAGAAAAAGGACACAGTGGTAACAGTAGAACAGACCCGGGTTTCCCTTCCCTGGGACACTCCCAATTCCTGGCATTGTGACACCCCCGGTTCCTGCTTTTATGATCCCCAGTTCCTTTTATGATTCCGGTTCCTGCTTTTATGATCCCCCGGTTCCTGCTTTATGACCCCCGGGGTTCCCTGCTTTTATGATCCCCCGGTTCCTGCTTTTATGATCCCCCGGTTCCTGCTTTTATGATCCCCCGGTTCCTGCTTTGGTGAACCTGGGGCCACTGGTTCCCAACCAAAAAAAAAACAGGAAACTGCTTCATAACTAGTAGTACCTTATGTTACATAAACCTATAACATGTTTAGCCGCACAAGCAAAATATAAAAAAAAAGTTTGCGATACGTCTGGCAACGAAGTGACAAAGGAAGCCCAGGAAACATTCAAATTTGAATGTCCTATCATTTGCGATGCGAGAACAACTGGTTTTTCAATATGGGGAAAATTTTGTCTCGGTCGCCATAGGAAAATCAACACTCCCCCAACTCAACACACAACCAACTTCAACTTCAACTTCTTGACCAGAGCTTTGGTAAGATGGGTAAGGAAGAAGGATGGGTGAGGATAGAAATATTGGAAAAGGATGGGAAAGGGGGAGAGAGGTAGGATATGAAGGGGTAGGATTGAAGGGGTATAATACTAACCCATCAGTCACATAGATATAACAAATATACAAGTACATGATTCTGAATTGGTAGTACAGTGGACCCCCGGTTAACGATTTTAATCCGTGCAAGAGGGGTAATCGTTATGCGAAATAATCGTTATGTGAATGAATTTTCCCCATAAGAAATAATGGAAATAAAATTAATCCGTGCAAGACACCCAAAAGTATGAAAAAAAAATTTTTTTACCACATGAAATGTTAATTTTAATACACACAAACTGAAAAAGGCATGCACACTTACATGACACTTACTTTTATTGAAGATCTGGTGATGATTGATGGGATGGGAGGAGGGGAGAGCATTATCTTCTTACTGTTTAGAAGGGGAATCCCCTTCCATTAGGACTTGAGGTAGCAAGTCCTTTTCCGGGGTTACTTCCCTTCTTCTTTTAATGCCACTAGGACCAGCTTGAGAGTCACTGGACCTCTGTCGCACAACAAATCTGTCCATAGAGCTCTGTACCTCCCGTTCCTTTACGATTTGTCTAAAATGGGCCACAACATTGTCATTGAAATAGTCACCAGCACGGCTTGCAACAGCTGTGTCAGGGTGATTTTCATCCATAAAGGTTTGCAGTTCAACCCACTGTGCACACATTTCCTTAATTTTTGAAGTAGGCACAATGGATTCCACAACTGGCATAGGCATCTCAGGGTTAGCCCCAAACCCTTCAAAATCTTTCTTAATTTCCATACTAATTCTCACCCTTTTTACCACAGGGTTGGCACTAGAAGCTTTCTTGGGGCCCATGGTCACTTATTTTCCAGAAACAGCACCGAAAACACTGTAATAATACGAAATATTCCGATTGTATGCTTGGATGTTATTGCGGAGGCTGGCTGGTAAACAATGCCACCGGCGGAACATGTGAGCGTGGCTCAGGCCGCACATTGGAAGCGTCTCGGACGAAAATCGGTAAGCGGGTTTTTAAGCGGTATGCGAGGCAAAATTTTTGCAATTAAAGTAAGCGGTATGCGAAATAATCGCTATGTGATGCCATCGTTATGCGGGGGTCCACTGTAATTATACAAGTTGCAATTTCGTTTTTTTTTTTGCGATTGCACAACGGATATTTAAACGACAATGAAGGCAATAATTTTCTGGCCAGTTTATAAAGAATTACTTGACATTAGCTTCTTACAAGGTGGTGTCCCGCCATAATAAATGCAGCATAATTTTAACAGTAGAATATTGTACAAGATGTCTCCCTAATCGGGGGCGATGGTTTTCTTAGTAAACACAGAAGGGTTCTGCATATGATAATGTGAACAAATATTATTCAATTTATGATATGGAAAGAGAGAGAGTAACTGCAGTCTAAATAAAAATTAACTTGCCTTTCCCTTGTGCCAACCAGTGATGCATATGTGAACATCTGTGCTGACAGACAGCAGTTCTTACAGTTCTTTACCAATCTCTATCAAAGAAATATATAAAATATGTGAGTAGGGCATGCCTAGGATGATCCAGTGAATTTGCTGCAGCAGACTAACTTGCATGAGCAAGTTAGTCTGCTGCAGTGCTCCTTTGTTCCTATGTTTATCAACTGTAGGGTGTTTTTTCTTGATAATAAGTTGTTTGGGTTGACTAATTTTTTGCATTTTTTTTTTTTTCAAAGTTTTGACCAGAATATATTTCATATCGGAACCATGTGACCTTTATCAAAAATACATAAAAATGGGGTAGATTTCTCCAAGCGATATATGAAAACTTAGAGTTCAGCAAAAACGTTACTCAGTCGGTTATACTCAAGTATATGTAATAGTTTTTGACTTAATGAGAAGTGACACAATGAATACAAGAAAAAAAAATTAGTCAGAACACCAAAAATAACTTTGTTTATGCATTAAGTTTTTCATCTAAAACTGTTAAACCAAACTGTGCGGTGTAAATATTATGCAGAAAATTCGGAGTGTGGAAATTAGGAAAAGATGTGGAGTTAATAAAAGTATTAGTCAGAGGGCTGAAGAGGGTTTGTTGAGGTGGTTTGGTCATTTAGAGAGAATGGATCAAAGTAGAATGACATGGAAAGCATATAAATCTATAGGGGAAGGAAGGCGGGGTAGGGGTCGTCCTTGAAAGGGTTGGAGAGAGGGGGTAAAGGAGGTTTTGTGGGCGAGGGGCTTGGACTTCCAGCAAGCGTGCATGAGCGTGTTAGATAGGAGTGAATGGAGACGAATGGTACTTGGGACCTGACGATCTGTTGGAGTGTGAGCAGGGTAATATTTAGTGAAGGGATTCAGGGAAACCGGTTATTTTCATATAGTTGGACTTGAGTCCTGGAAATGGGAAGTACAATGCCTGCACTTTAAAGGAGGGGGTTTGGGATATTGGCAGTTTGGAGGGATATGTTGTGTATCTTTATATGTATATGCTTCTAAACTGTTGTATTCTGAGCACCTCTGCAAAAACAGTGATAATGTGTGAGTGTGGTGAAAGTGTTGAATGATGATGAAAGTATTTTCTTTTTGGGGATTTTCTTTCTTTTTTGGGTCACCCTGCCTCGGTGGGAGACGGCCGACTTGTTGAAAAAAAAAAAAAAAATTCAACACAACGGCTGTCTCCCACCAAGGCAGGGTGAGCCAAAAAGAAAGAAACACTTACATTTATATCTGATCCTAATTGTGTTTATTCATTCTTCGGTTATAGATTTAATAATTTCCAGTAAAACAGTTCTTCTATAAAATGCACATTGTCTTGAAATCAGTAATGTCTTTTGAAATGCTGTTGATCATTTAATTGGGAAATATCACCTTTCTGTACATTAGTTTTTGTTTAATACTTCAAGCCTTGTTTTATTAGGCAGAGTAAGTGCACCAATTCTTCATGAAGAAAGTTCTTGTAAAGGATATAATTTCATGATTAGTAATAAGTACAAAAATAATTAGAAAAATTATCTGATATTCCTTGTGTATTTGTAGTATACTTATAACTTTTTAAATCCACAGAACACTTCGTATCGGAGGCTCACATGGTTTTAAAAGGTCATCGTTCTATTGTCAATCAAGTGCGTTTTAACCCACAAAACTTCATTGTTGCATCCTCTGGAGTAGAAAAGATTGTAAAGGTATGATATATAGGTTATTGCACAGTCCACCTTAATAGCATTCTGAAAGTGATTGAGATAAAGTAACAAGAATTTGATGAAAATTACCTTAAATAGTAGCTATTATCAGAGATAAACTGATTGAAGTGTCTATGAGTTGAGTAAATCTGAGACTTAAAGAAATGACATCCACAGTGAGCTTGACGATGGAATTAATAGTGATAATTTTGGATTGGTTTAATTTTTATAACTTGTGTTTGAGGGAGATGATACATAGGAAGAAATATAAGGAATAAAGGAAGATAACTTTGCAACATAATTACTGAATTTTTTATTTAAAAATTTTCTTTCAACAGCTTTGGAGTGGATTGTCTTTGCCTGGATGTAATGGCAGTTTAAGAACAAGCAATTCTGGAAGTTTCATGACTAGAAGAGTCTACACACACGAGGAGTACATTGGACTTGTTATGGAGAGTGGCCAGGTAGTTGGGGTATGTCTTGGGATACTGAGGACAGAGAAGGGACTTCAAAATAATTGCCCATCTTTAGTAAAGTTGAAATCACATTGTTATCAGTATAACTATGTGAGGAAGAAGGAAGTGTAAATTTTCTCGCGTCGTGACCATGGGGTTGGCAGTTGGCAGCCTGTGCAATTCCTCCTTCCTCATTTAGTAACAAACTTAGTTCTGAGCCTTAGAGAATGTCTTAGAAAAGAAAATAACTATACAAATAACTGGTTATAGTTGATGTACTCAAAAATTTAAAAATAAAATGAGAACAGTGAATGAACCATAGGTTAACATACATTGTTTGTGTGAACAACTACACAATAAATGTAGTCAAGAATCTAGATAATTAGTGATTTATGGTAGTTAGAAAAAGAGCTGTGAGGATAGCTCAGATGACTTGTTACTGCAGGCAAGTCCTATTCAGCATCATAGTTTGCTTAATAGAGAACCATTTTCAAAGGGGTGATTTTAAATAAGGCTGTGATCCTAGGCAAGAAATATTTAAGTTGAATATGAAAATATTAAGGCCTAAAACATAGGTTAAATTTTATGCTTGAACCATATTTACTCTAGTACTATTTTTGTGGTACATGTGAATGGTGGCAGACATGCATAAATAGTCTTATCTCAAGTTGTACAATGTGCAAAGAAAACAACCCAGTTTCATATAGGTTCATTGAACTCTTGTGGTATAATCCTGCATGTGTTTGCTTTCTCTATACATACTGTATTTGCATGGAGTGAATGGCAAGACAAAGAGCATGTGGTTGTCATCCATTCACATAGTTTTTCATATTGAAAATCTGGGTCATGTAGGCACCATCACCAGTTATTTCTAGCAAAGCAAGTATTCACTTGGTCATTAAATATTCATCAGTCAAGTAAGGTATGATGCAGTGTGGCAGGTTTTAGAACTGGTCTGATTGGTTCTGATATGCATTTGTTAATTTTTTTTAATGTCTTTAGCTTCCCTCATGGGAGATTCATTAATGCCATTGAGGGACTCTTGATCAAAGAAATTGCATCTGTTTTCCCTTGCCCTTTGATGGAATGTAAATGCCTCCCAATTCACCAGGCATCGTATGATCCCTATAGGTTGAGCCTCCCTGTGAATGTAATAATAATAATGACAAGAAGTAAACCTTTCAGAGAGGTTTTGTTTTAATTAAAGAGGTATGGAATAATGCACTGTTTTTGCCTGTAATGAATGGACTGGATAGTGAAAATTAATGTGAGGATAATTACATTGCTAGTCATGGCATTATACCAGGTGAGTGCCCCGGCATAATGCTGTGATGAAAATCAAAGGCCTACCGTACAGGGGGGTCTTTTCGTCAGTGCACTATGCCGGGTAGCAGCCGTTAGCATGACGTCATGGCCTGCTGCCACATTCCACAGTGACTCCTCAGTGCTCATGTGGCTGCCGTGTGAGAGGAAATGTTGCACTTTTGTCTCTCATCTGCCCCATCTTTTGTCTGGTGTTTCCTTTGGTTTTGGGGCTATACATGGTTGATTGTGGGTAAGAGGAAGTCTTTAACACCTGAAACTATAGCTCAAATCATAGGGCTTCACAAACCTGGGCACCAGATGAAATTAATAGTGGAGAATGTTGGTGTGTATGAGCATTCAGTGAGGAACTGGGTGCAGCGTTTCAAGGCTGGTGGGTGCGTCGAGTTACCATCTTCCAAACCTTGGCCTGGCCCCTCGAAGAAGACATCTGTTCATATCTTAACTGTATTAAAGAAGTAGTTAGAGAGCACACCTAAGGTAACTATTAGAGAATTGAAAGAAAAGAACCCACATCTTCTCTCGGAGTTGTCTGTAAGAACTGTTAACAGACGTGTCAACTGGGTTACAGTAGTCACTGCCAGGTTATGAAACTAATCCTCCAAGCCACAGAAGAAATGTAGGCTGGATTATGCAAAGAAATATCTTCACTGGAATCTTCAACAGTGAAGTACTTTGGAGTGATGAAGCAACCCTCACCATCACCTGTAACCGTGGGGGATGTGTACCGGCCCAGAGGTAGTGACCCACTAGACCTGTGTGGGACCACTAAACACCCAGACTCGCTCATGGTTTGGGGGGTTTCAGCGCTCAGTGTGTTGAACTCATTGCGCTTCCCAAAAAACAGTATATGAACCAGTATAATTACCTGGAGTTATTGTGTGACAATTTACCTGAGGCATTTGACAAGTGTGGGGCTATGGTTTTTATGCAGGACAGTGCGCTGTGTCATGCCACCAAATCTAGTTCGGTGGCCAGGCAATTCCCCAGACCTAAACCCTATTGAAAACCTCTGGTCAGTAGTGAAGCGAAGTTTATTGGGTGAGGATGTCAGTTCCATCCCACAGCTGGAGGCTGCAATACGTACGGCATGGAATAATATACCTCCCCAAACACTCAAAAATTTCAGAGAGAGTCTTCCTACATGGCTGAGGGACGTGATTAAGAGTAAAGGATACAGCACCAAGTATTAAAACCTCAGTAAGTGTGCAATTATATATACATTATAATCTTTCATGGGATGTGTTTGTGTTTTGGTATGTGTGTAGGGGAGGGGGAGGTATAATTCCATGACTAGCACTGTATATCTCTTCTCCATGAGGAAGCAGAACAAAATTCTTCCTCCATAAATCATGTGTGTTGTAAGAGGAGACTAAATGGGAGCATGGGGCTAGTAACCCCTTCTCCTGTATGCATTACTAAATTTAAAAAGAGAAATATTCATTTTTCTTTTTAGGTCACCCTGCCTTGGTGGGATATGGCCGGTTTGATGAAAAAAAAATATATATCTGTAACATGATTGTCACAAGAAGTACTAGCATAAATTCCATTGCATTTTTTTTTTTGCATAAAATTATTACTATTAATTAGTATCATTGTATAATGATAACATCAGTTTATAGTACAGTGGAACCTCAAATATCGAACTGCTCCCAACTTGACCAGTTATGTAAGTGTATTTTTGTAAGTTCTTTTATAAGTGTAATTTTGAGTGTCTGAAATGAACTAATCTAATTTACATTATTCCTGATTGGAATAAATTCATTCGGTAATGGCACTCGAACAGCCGTCTAGAATGAAGAAAGTTTGATTTTTGAGGTTCCGCTGTAATTCCAATTTATCAATCAACTTTATAGAACTTCTCTAGTCTTTTCACTACATATTCTGATCAAGTGGTGGTATGTTGCTGGTCAGCATGAGTCATTCTAATTATACATTAGTTATATCTGTATACAAGATACTGTATAGCCAAAATAAGTACTGATAATCTAAAACTTTTTGACATTTTTTTTTTTTCCACATTGGCAATTTCCTACCAAGATAGGATGACCCAAAGAAGGCAACATTTATATCATTTATTCAGTAATTGTCTTGTCAGAAGTGCAAGGATTATCACAATTTAAATGACCCTCCAAACTGCTATATTAAGACCCCTCCTTCCTCAACTGCAGAGCTCAAATCTGGCTAACCAGTTTTCCTGAATCATCCTACTAATGCTACCTTCCTTACACTCCAACAGCATGCCAGATTCCTTTATGGAATTAGCCTCCACTGTATCATTGTCCATTTCATTTGACTTTGTCTTTAACCTGAATAAGTAATGTCCTAAAGTATTTTATGTTACCACCCTCTTGTTTGTTCTGCCAGACACGAGCAGCCTTGCTCTCGCATTCTTCATAACTAATTTTCCTCAAACTTTGGTGCCAGTCTAGATGCATTTCTTTGGTCTTAATTGAGTTTCACTTTGTGTTTTACTAGGTGAGGGTTCCATACAGTGCTGCTTACTCAAGAATGGGTCACACATATGAGGTAAAGTGTGTTTTGAAATGTCATTGTTTAAGTGTCTGAATGCCACTCGTATGTTCACAAGCTTAGCCTATGCTGCTGCTGATGTTTGATTTGTGTGCTTCAGAGGACAGGTTTGGGGTAATGGTTTTTCCTATGGTAGACATTTCTTTAGTGAGTATACACTTGATGGAAGTCTGCTTAAGTCTGGCTTGAGGGATTGTACACTCAGATCCGTGCCTAGTGTTCTAGGTTGTGGGAGTATGCATTCATATCTGAGCTCTGGGGGTCTGGTTTGAAGGAGTATACTGTACATCCTGAAAAGACTGAAAGCCGGATTTTAGGGCTGACTTTATAAAACAATTATTATTTAGATAGCAGGAACTATAATAGTGAGATGATGATGATGAATAAGACATTTATGCAACACCTGGGTATCTTGTTTGGAGAGATTTTGCCCACCAGGGGCTTGACAATCTAATATGGAGATAGGATATTGGAGCATTTTTTAGTCAAGCTAGCAGAATGATGCAGCAGTTGTAGATGTGGTCTCATGTAGGCAGGGGCCACTGGTGGAAGTAGGTCAGGCCCTAGAAGGTAGGCCAGAAATTTAGCAGTCAAGTAGTCAAGACATCCTCTAGATTTCTAAAAGGAAGCTAGTGGTCAGTCTGGTAATGGAGCCAGTAGAAGTAGTGATGCAATAATAGTATACATAGTCACACATGGGTGGGGCTTAATAGTGGAAGCAGGTCATGTGCACAGTGTGGGCCAGAAATTTAGCAGTTGAAGTATTGCACATCTGTCTGGACACATCGATCCTCTAATGTTTAACTATAATGATTCAAGAACATAGAGATTGGGTTGTAAGTTTTTTCTATTATAGGCCATTTTCTGACAAGATGGTGATCCCCAAAAAAGAAAAACATTCACCATAATTTAATAAGTAGCTGCCCTTCTAAAAGTACACAGACATCACAGATCCAATGATCCACTGGATTGTAACTTCCCATCTGTTCTTCAAAGTGCAAGCACTGTGCTGACCACCCCAGAACCCAATTCCAGCTACTGGTTTCTTCAATTACCTTCATAGATATTACCTCACTCTTATTCCAACAGCTCATCATATCTCAAAAAGCCACTTGTCTCCACTCTGATCAGGAACACACACACATGCCCACTAGATGCTCAGCTTCATCCCTTTGTCTTCACACCCTTCCTCTGACCCTTCTTGGGATGACCTCTACATCTCCTGCCCTTGAATTTATATTTTTTTAAACACATTGGCTGTTTTTCACTATAGTGTGTTGACCTATAGAAGGGAACATGTTCACCATCACTCGCTCAGTAACTGCACTACGAGAATTGTGCAGACATCACAGCTCAAATGACCCTCCAACTCCCACATGCAAACCCATCTGTAGGGTGAATAAATAAAATTGTTTTCATGGTTCAAGTGTGTTTGGGGTTAGTGTATGGTAGGATCGAAGACCAGGTAATTCAGTGTGGTAGATGCTAGTGTAGTGTGCAGCGAAGATTGTGTTTTCAGAGAATTAAGTAATATTATGCCCTTTTAGGGGTGCCTTGATATGTAGGGCTCTTGATCCAAGGAACTAGAGCTACCCTCTCCTTCACTGAATCAGACCTGATAATCTCCCATTCTGAAAGAGGCTGTATGACCCTTACAGATTTAGCACTTCCATGTGAATATAATAACAACATTAGTCATAAATTGTCAGCTATGTACGTGTGTTTGTGATCAAAATAATTTTACTCCACAGGATGTGAATCATGACTACAGCCATGGAAGCACAGATGAGGACCCTCGCATGATGGCTTTCTTTGACTCTCTAGTGCAGAGAGAGGTGGAAGGTTGGACCTCGAACACCGACCTTTCTGATGATCTTGAAAATGATGCACAACTCTCAGGGCAAGATGATGATGATACAGAAACTACTACAACTCACTCATCTCTGGCTGTTGTCACATCACAGTCTGATGATAATGATTCCGATGATGGTAAGATTTTACTACACAAACTAGTTTCAGAATAAAATAGCTTGCTGAAATCTCAGGTTGAATTTTTAACATTGATGTTATTGTATTTATGATAAAGAACTAGAACATATATACCTTCACAATTTTTATTTATTATGCAAATCTACTTGTAGATACAGATGACTTAATATAAAGTAGTTACTTAACAGGTGAAGATAATCATTTGGATAATGGAAGGATGACAGGAATACTTACTAATGAAAATAGGATGTTCTAAAAACACCTGAAATAAATCATATTACACCCATCTCTTGACCTGCACAATAATGTGATCCTAAAAATTGCCTATAAGGTGAAGTCATACAGTTCCATCAATAAAGTACATGAAATTTGAATTTTACTAAAATCATAATTCAGAAGGCTGAGGAGAGGTGGTTGAGGTGGTTTGGGCATTTAGAGAGGATGGAGCTCAGTAAGATGACCAAGAGAGTACAGGAAGGCCCCGCGTATTCAGCACCCTCTTTTTGGTGTTCCATCTTTTCATTAGTTTTTAATTGAGCCATTGTTCATTATATTCTGTGCTTTTTTTCCCACTTTTCTGCAGTTTTTGCACAACAGTTGCATAAGGAAGGGCAACTGGCACCATATTTTAATGTAAATATTGTATGTACTGTGTATTTATTTTACTTTTGTATCTTTTTTTTATGCCTAGCTGTATTGAGCACTGAATACATACATGATAGTGTAAACACGTTAGGAGGCATTTTAGACGTATTCGATGTTGAACAACACTCTTTTTCCACTCCCTGGCGATTTTTGGTTATTACCGGGGGTCAAGAACCTAGCAGCCATACAAACGGTGTTCTTCTGTATATAAATCTGGATTGGAAGTTATGAAGGTTAGGGGTCATCTTAGGAAGGGTTAGAATGAGGAGGGGGCTAAAGGAGTTTAAGAAGGATCAGCAGGTAGCCTCAGGGTTTGGATTAAGCTTTGCACCAACAACTGGAGGTGTTAATTTTCTACATGTTGGAAAAACATCAGAAGGCTTATGTGAGTGCATTGGATTGATTGGCGACTGTTAGATTTTCTTTCCGTAATGGTCATTTTTTTCTTCTAGAACCAAGTGGTAGCCATGGACAAGAAAGTTCTGATGAACAACAAGAAACTAGACAAAGGTCAAATCAACTCTCAAGAAGAAGACAGAGTCGTAACGATCCTCCAAAGAATGAAGAAGATGAGGATGATGATGATGATGATGAGGATGATGATGATGATGATGATGATGATGAAGGAGATAAAGTGGGTTTTGGCTGTGGTAGTTTTTAATTGCTTTACCTGAAGATAGTTTACATTTAAGAACTTTCACCTAATTAATGCTTTCATTGCTGAAATTATATACCTGGAGTATACCTGGTTTGTAATAAGAAACCAAGGCTTTTTTTTCTATCTCTTTCTCTGTCTCTCTCTCTCTCTTTGCAGAGGTTGTGATTTCACTTTTACTGACCAAAAATATTTTACACATTTTGGCCATTAAGCAAATGTGTAAATACCACACTGGATATGGCCGGTAGACGGTGCCTGGAATAGGGTTCTCAGATCTATTGTAGCCATCACATTTTGATGGTAGAATGCAGGACTAGCTCACACTTAGACTTGGATTCGAATCTTGTCTGTTCCTTGAAAGAAAGTTGTTTTCATGATTTTCCTGAAGCCTTTTGCATATGCTGTCTCATCACACAAGAGGTGAAAAAAGGTGCTGCCATTTCCTGCTCGGTGTGTGTCTGAATTGTAAATATTCCTCACCTGATAGCACCAAGTTGCACGTGTTTTTAATGATAGATTTTCATAATTTTATACAGTGAGTTGCTAGAATTTCTGGTGAATATTATTTTTAAAGAATGGGAAATGAATCACAGAATTGATGGTGAGATGTGTTGAAAATATAAGGCAAACATCTTCCCTAAATGTCAAGTACTCTCACCTTCCTCTCTCTCCCTTATCTCCCTCCTTCACTTCATATTCCTCACTTTTTACTTCCTACACTCTTTCCTTCTTACTCACTTTTCCCCTCCCTCCCTCATCCCTTCTCTACTGGTCCAACTCTAGAATTGTTTAGTCTGTTTGTGTGCTTTACAGAGAAAACTTGGTAAGGTTTGTAACTTCAGAATCTTTCATTTCTAGTCCATATTTTGGATTATACCATAAATATGGTGTAATGTATGTTGCATAAGGAATATACAGTGGACCCCCGGTTAACAATATTTTTTAATTCCAGAAGTATGTTCAGGTGCCAGTACTGACCGAATTTGTTCCCATAAGGAATATTGTGAAGTAGATTAGTCCATTTCAGACCCCCAAACATACACGTACAAATGCACTTACATAAATACACTTACATAATTGGTCGCATTGGGAGGTGATCGTTAAGAGGGGGTCCACTGTATATGTAGAATAGTGAAGTAAACTGCTAATTTATTCACCTCGGATGAAAGAATGGCGATTTGCTACTGCACTTTTTTTTTTATTTTAAAAGATAATGCAGATCAAGTTGAGCTAATACATTATAAAAAACACACAATGAACATTTTTTTTTTTTCACAAGGTGAAAGTCTTTGACAATGTTTTAAAGCTTTTTCATGGTTATGGGCTTCCTTATACTTATAGGCCTACAATGCTCTGTTGTGTTATAATGCAAAAAAAAAAAATTGTCTGTAATACGTCTGGCTCCATTTGATAAACCTAGGTCAAGATACTTTCATATATGAAAGAATATACAGTGGAACCTCGGTTTTTGTATGCCCTAGTTTGTATGTAAAACTGCTATAGTTATTCTCTATAAAATGTATTTTTTGTTAATATTTCCCATAAATAATGGAAATCCAATTAATCCATCCCAGACACCTAAAAATATTAATAAAAAATACATTTTATAGAGAATAACTATTTTATATACAAACTAGGGCATACAAAAACCGAGGTTCCACTGTATTTTTAAAAGTTTCATTGTGAGGTTTTTAGGTAAAAATAAATTCCAGGTGTGGGACCTTGTGATCTCTTATAAAAGCTCATCTGAGTGGTTTAATTTTGTAAATGGAGAAATGACTCTTGCTGAGAATCAACTGGATGATGCATGACACGGTGAAAGGGTTAAGTAATGCTAAAGTTGTTACTGTCAGTTTATTAACTGCTCTTAAGAATGTATGTTTTTACCCTCTTGACTTAAAGGTCCACAAGGCCTCAGTCTTACTTATTTTTCCTTTTTGTTTTATGCAGGTATTTGTGCTTGTAGGTAGTAGATTGGTAGACAGCAACCACCCAGGGAGGTACTACTGTCCTGCCAAGTGAGTGTAAAACGAAAGCCTGTAATTGTTTTACATGATGGTAGGATTGCTGGTGTCTTTTGTCTGTCTCATAAATATGCAAGGTTACAGGTACGTCTTGCTACTTCTACTTACACTTAGGTCACACTACACATACATGTACACGTTTATTTATACACACTCATCTGAGTTTTCTTTGATTTTATCTTAATAGTTCTTGTTCTTATTACTTTTCCTTTTATATCCATGGGGAAGTGGAATAAGAATCTTTTCTCTGTAAGCCATGCGTGTTGTAAAAGTCAACTAAAATGCTGGGAACAATGAGTTAGTAACCCCTTTTCTTGTAATAATTACTAAAAAGAATAAGAAGAAAATTGTCAAAGTGGGATGTCTGAATGTGCATGGATGTTGTGCAGATGATAAGAAAGAGATGATTGTGAATGAATGAGAAGAAGCTGGATGTCCTGGCTTTAAGTGAAACAAAGCTGAAGGGGGTGGGAGAGTTTCAGTGGAGAGGAATAAATGGGATTAGGTCAGGGGTTTCAAATAAAGTTAGAGTAGCAATAATGTTGAAGGATAAGCTATGGCAGAAAAAGAGGGACTATAAATGTATTAATTTAAGGATTATGTGGAGTAAAATAAAGGTTGGATGTGAAAAGTGGGTTATAGTAAGTGTATATGCACCTGGAGAAGAGAGAAGTGTAGAGGAGAGAGAGAGAGATTTTGGGAAATGTTGAGTGAATGCATGGGGAGTTTTGAACCAAGTGTGAGAATACTTGTGGTTGGGGATTTCAATGCTAAAGTGGGTAAAAATGTTGTGGAGGGAGTAGTAGGCAAATTTGGGGTGTCAGGGGTAAATGAAAATGGGGAGCCTTTAATTGAGCTATGTGTAGAAAGAGGTTTGGTAATAAGTAATACATATTTTATGAAAAAGAGGATAAATAAATATACAAGTTAGGATATAGCACATAATGAAAGTAGTTTATTAGATTATGTATTGGTGGATAAAAGGTTGATGGGTAGGCTCCAGGATGTACACGTTTATAGAGGGGCAACTGATATATCGGATCATTATTTAGTTGTAGCTACAGTTAGAGTAAGAGGTAGATGGGACAAGAGGAAAATGACAACAAGAAGTAAGAGGGAGGTGAAGGTGTATAAACTAAGGGAGGAGGAAGTTTGGGTGAGATATAAGCAACTATTGGCAGAAAGGTGGGCTGGTGCAAGTATGAGTAGTGGGGGGGTTGAAGAGGTTTGGAATAGTTTTAAAAATGCAGTATTAGAATGTGGGGCAGAAGTTTGTGGTTATAGGAGGGTTGGTGCAGGAGGAAAGAGGAGTGATTGGTGGAATGATGAAGTAAAGGGTGTGATAAGAGAAAAAGGTAGCTTATGAGAGGTTTTTACAAAGCAGAAGTGTTACATGAAGAGTAGAGTATATGGAGAGTAAAAGAAAGGTGAAGAGAGTGGTGATAGAGTGCAAAAGGAGAGCAGATGATAGATTGGGAGAGGCACTGTCAAGAAATTTTAATGAAGAGAAGAAAAAATTTTGGAGCGAGTTAAACAAGTTAAGAAAGCCTAGGGAATGAATGGATATGTCAGTTAAAAACAGAGTAGGGGAGTTAGTAGATGGAGAGATTCAGTTCAATTCAATTCAATTCAATTCAGTTCAGGTTTATTCTCTATAAGGGTTACAATGTGGGGTTTACAGGTTTTGGGTATTGTGTGGTTTACATGTTATAAAATACTAATTACAGAGGGGGCCACTAGGACACCTAGCATGGCTAGGCATTTCGGGCAGACTTAGATTAATTCTTAGAATTAAATCCTTACAGATTATGGTATTAAGGCTAAGTGACTACATCATAATTTGTGAGTTTAGCAATGTGAATGCTTTTGTTTTGGCACAATACAAAGTGTCTATATTGGAGTATCATTGGCAAACTTATGACTAGTTAAAATTTATTATTTTAAGATTAAGATTAGTATTTCTGGGTTTATAGTCAGTGGGTGAGCGAGTGTAATTGTGAACCACCAGGTGGTTATCATGTAGTTAGTTGTCGGGGTGTATGAGGGAGATAAGATGTTTTCTAACTGTAGTTTTGAAAGTGATGAATGTGTCTGCAGTTCTAAAGTTTTCAGGTAGGGTGTTCCAGATTTTAGGTCCTTTGAAATACATTGAATTTTTGTAAAGGTTTAGTCGAACACGGGGAATGTCAGAGATGTTTGTGTCTGGTGTTATGCCTGTGGATCCTGTCACAACTATCAAGAAAGCATTTTAGGTCAAGGTTAATATTGGAATTTAAGGTCCTGTTGATATAGATTGCATGGTAGTAAGTGTGGATGTTCTGAACAGGGAGTAAGTTTAGATCTATGAAGAGTGGGGGGGGGGTGTTGCCAGGGATGGGATTTAGTGATTATTCTTACTGCGGCTTTTTGTTGGGTTATTATTGGCTTTAGGTGTGTTGCTGCAGTTGAACCCCAAGCACAGATAGCATAGGTGAGGTATGGATATATAAGTGAATGGTATAGTGTGAGAAGGGCAGTTTGCGGCATGTAGTATCGTATCTTGGAGAGGATCCCCACCGTTTTGGATACTTTTTTTGTTATGTGTTGGATATGGGTGCTGAAATTTAGGTTGTTGTCGAGGTATAGGCCAAGGAATTTGCCCTCATTATGTCTGGCAATTAGAGTGTTGTCGATCTTAATGTTAAGTTGCGCAACACCTGCTCTGCTACCAAACATAATAGAGTAGGTTTTGCCATTGTTAAGTGTAAGTTTATTGGCTATCATCCAAGTCGATATTTTGAGCAGCTCCTCGTTAACAATGGTGTTGAGGGTGGCAAGATTAGGGTGGGAGATGACATAAGTCTTGTTGTCAGCAAAGAGAATGGGTTTAGGAGTTGGGATATGTTTGGAAGATCATTGATGTAAATGAGGAAGAGCAGGGGTCCAAGGACACTTCCCTGCGGAACTCCAGTATCAAGTGGCCGTATTGATGAGGCTGTGTCTTTAATGGTGACATACTGATACCTGTTAGAAAGGTAGGATTTAAAATATGCAAACGCATGGCCTCTTATACCATAGTGGTCAAGTTTGTGGAGTAGGATGCCGTGGTCTACTGTGTCAAATGCTTTTCTTAGGTCAATAAAAATTCCTAGCGGATATTCCTTATTTTCCAGTGCTGTGTAAAGCAGGTCTAGCATTTTTATAATTGCATCATTAGTGCTTTTATTTTTCCTGAATCCAAATTGGCAGGGGTTGAGTATGTTTTGTGATGTTATAAATGAATATAGTCTCCTGTGCACGAGTTTCTCGAAGATTTTGGATAGCAATGGTAAGTTTGATATTGGCCTATAGTTGTTTACATCTGTAGGGTCACCACCTTAATGTATTGGTGTAACCCTTGCTGTCTTGAGTAGTGTCGGGAAAGTGCTAGTTTCTAGTGACTTGTTAAAAAGTAATGTAGTAGGATGCAAAAGGACATGGGCCGCTCGCTTGTACAATAATGGTGGGATGTGAGACAGATTCCCCGAGTTATTTTTAAGTGACTTTATGATCGCGGTGACTTCCATGGGCTCAGTTGGTACAAGATAGGAGTTTGGGAAATTCCCATCTAGGTAGTCCCCGGCAAGAATATTTTGAGGAACTTTTAAATGTTGACAAAGAAAGGAAGGCGGTAATTTCATGCACTGGCCAGGGAGGTATACCATCTTGTAGGAGTAAAGAAGAGCAAGATGTGAGTGTGGGGGAGGTGCGTGAGGCATTATGTAGAATGAAAGGGGGTAAAGCAGCTGGAACTGATGGGATCATGACAGAAATGTTGAAAGCAGGGGGTGATATAGTGTTGGAGTGGTTGGTAATTTTTTGTTTAATAAATGTATGAAAGAGGGGAAGGTACCTAGGGATTTGCAGAGAGCATGTATAGTCCCTTTATATAAAGGGAAGGGGGACAAAAGAGATTGTAAAAATTATAGAGGAATAAGTTTACTGAGTATACCAGGAAAAGTGTACGGTAGGGTTATTATTGAAAGAATTAGAGGCAAGACAGAATGTAGAATTGCGGATGAGCAAGGAGGTTTTAGAGTGGGTAGGGGATGTGTCGATCAAGTGTTTACATTGAAGCATATATGTGAATAGTATTTAGATAAAGGTAGGGAAGTTTTTATTGCATTTATGGATTTAGAAAAGGCATATGATAGAGTGGATAGGGGAGCAGTGTGGCAGATGTTAAAAGTACAGTGGACCCCCGGTTAAAGATATTTTTTCACTCCAGAAGTATGTTCAGGTGCCAGTAGTGACCGAATTTGTTCCCATAAGGAATATTGTGAAGTAGATTAGTCCATTTCAGACCCCCAAACATACACTTACAAACGCACTTACATAAATACACTTACATAATTGGCCGCATTCGGAGGTGATCGTTATGCGGGGGTCCACTTTATATGAAATAGGTGGTAAGTTACTAAATGCTGTAAAGTTTTTATGAGAATAGTGAGGCTCAGGTTAGGGTGTGTAGAATAGAGGGAGATTACTTCCTGGTAAAAGTAGGTCTTAGACAGGGATGTGTAATGTCCCCATGGTTGTTTAATGTATTTATAGATGGGGTTGTAAAAGAAGTAAATGCTAGGGTGTTCAGGAGAGGGGTGGGATAAAATTATGGGGAATCAAATACAAAATTGGAATTGACAGTTTCTTTTCGCTGATGATACTGTGCTTATGGGAGATTCTAAAGATAAATTGCAAAGTTTAGTGGACGAGTTTGGGAGTGTATGGAAAGCTGGAAAGTTGAAAGTGAACATAGAAAAGAGCAAGGTGATGAGGGTATCAAATGATTTAGATAAAGAAAAATTGGATATCAAATTGGGGAGGAGTATGGAAGAAGTGAATGTTTTCAGATATTTGGGAGTTGACGTGTCAGCGGATGGATTTATGAAGGATGAGGTTAATCAGAGAATTGATGAAGGAAAAAAGGCGAGTGGTGCGTTTAGGTATACGTGGAGACAAAAAATGTTATCTATGGAGGCAAAGAAGGGAATGTATGAAAGTATAGTAATACCAACACTCTTATATGGGTGTGAAGCTTGGGTTGTAAATGCTGCAGCAAGGAGGTGGTTGGAGGCAGTGGAGATGTCTTGTCTGTGGTGCAAATATTATGCAGAAAATTTGTAGTGTGGAAATTAGGAGAAGGTGTGGAGTTAATAAAAGTATTAGTCAAAGGGCTGAAGAGGGGTTGAGATGGTTTGGTCATTTAGAAAGAATGGATCAAAGTAGAATGACATGAAGAGGACATGTAGGGGAAGGAAGCCGGGGTAGGGGTCGTCCTCGAAAAGGTTGGAGGGAGGGGGTAAAGGAGGTTTTGTAGGTGAGGGGCTTGGACTTCCAGCAGGCGTGCGGCTTGGACTTCCAGCAGGCGTGCATGAGCGTGTTAGATAGGAGTGAATGGAGATGAATGGTATTTGGGACCTGATGAGCTGTTGGAGTGCGAGCAGGGTAATATTTAGTGAAGGGATACAGAGAAACCGGTTATTTTTATATAGCCGAACTTGAGTCCTGGAAATTGGAAGTACAGTGCCTGCACTTTAAAGGAGAGGTTTGGGATATTGGCAGTTTGGAGGGATATGTTGTGTATCTTTATACGTATATGTTTCTAAACTGTTGTATTCTGAGCACCTCTGCAAAAACAGTGATTATGTGTGAGTGAGGTGAAAATGTTAAGTTATGATGAAAGTATTTTCTTTTTGGGGATTTTCTTTCTTTTTTGGGTCACCCTGCCTCGGTGGGAGATGGCCGACTTGTTGAAAAAAAAAAAATTATGCTTGTACTTGTTCTCTCACAAAAATAGGTAGAGAGTCTTCAGAAAGCAGTGTGATCCATAAAGGAATCATGTTTATTTATAAATACAAATGTTTTGAATGTGTTAGCCATTATGATGTTCACAGAAGTGTGCACATCCAGTCATGTTGACAAATATGTTTTAATATAACTTAATATGGTAATCTAGTGTGACTAATGCTGACCTCTAGTGCATGCTGTGTCTGAGGACAAAAGGAATACATAGTGTTCTTTTAGAAGTCCCCATAAGAAAAAATCAAGATGAGTAAAATTTGGAGATCTTAGCCTAGTTCTTGGGTAACGAGTTTCCTTTGAAACACAGACTCCAAGTAATCTCTAAGTTGCAACACAATCTGAAGATCCTGTAGTAAGATACAAAAATGCAAATACTGTAATTTATAAATTCTAGTTGTAAAAATCCAGAACAAAGGTGAAAAATTTTGAATTGTTAATGCTTACAATTCGCCATTTAGCAATATATGTAACAAAAAATTGACAAGATAAACAAGGGATTTCAAAAATGTACTATGGGAACTATTAATGAGAAGCAATCATGTCAAGACAATTTTTGAAATAAAGAATTTTAACTGCATGTAAATGGAAACCAAACTGGATTTGGTTAGCATACGAGGCTGGAACAGCAAATAAATGGTCAATCAAATTTCTTAGTGTAATGACTAGTTTCTTAATGTATCAGCACATTAAATAAGAGACTTGTGTGATGAGAGAGGGCAACACACTGTTGATACTAAATTTTTGTGTTTAAAAGAAAAAGTGGAAAATTTTTAAACTTTAAACTATATAAAGCCATTTTGAAAGGGTGACATTATTTTATTGAAAAAATGTTTTGTTAAATGTGGCCTGGGGAAATATGATTTAAGGCAGTATTCATGGAAACAAACTGGAATAGAATTTTTGCAAGAGACATATAAACAAGCTATAAAAGGAGTTCTACACCTTGTACACTATGAACATACCTGTAGTGAACTATATTCTGGATAGGAGCAAAAGACCTTAGGTTTGACAGATATGTTTCATATAAGTCAGAAGTTAAAAGGTAGGACCAAGTGTTGGAGCTGATCCTTTGCAACTTCAACTTGATACAGTATTAGCATACAATAACACATCATTACTATAGTTTAAAAGTATAAAAAAATTTATCCTTAAATTTCAGATCTCTGGAGGAAGTGAATGGATTATGCGTTTGATTGCCAAGAAAAGAGCCAAACTTAGGATTGCTAAACGAGCCAGAAGGAAACACAAGCATCTCAGGAGACACCGCAAGAAAGCTCAGCATTTTCTTCGCTCCTTTACAACAAGCAGAAGGCGGTTTGTACTCATTAATATTATTCACAAGGAATGCATTTATCGAGAAAGGTCTGGACCAAGGGGTATCTACAGTATATATATGTAGTTTTGGCTAATCAAAGTTCATGTTGTTGGGCATAGTTTACCCCCCTAGTGATGATTAATGGACATATTCCTGTTAAGGAATATGCCATCTCTATTACTCTCCTCTAATTCCCTGAAGTATGGTGTGAATGATCTGTTAACTCTAGTTTGCTATCACCCAAATAGTCATTAGCTGAATGTTATCATGTGCAGGTATTAGTTAGGGCCTGAATAGCCTACACTTATTCAGTTATCATACTTAACCCTTTGCGGGTGGGTGCTGTAGGGCTTTGAAGTGCGGGTTGGTGCCATAGTTCTATGTGATGAGCTCGGCTCACTCAGATAAGCTGTGAGCAGTAAATTTTGGCCTAGATATGAGAGAATGGGTTTGTGGTGAGTGTGGACCGTATAAAAAAAAAAAAAAGTCCTGCATCTCACAGTGCATGAAGGGGAAAAAAAAGTGACTGTTTTTGGTTTAAAACCGAATTTGCAGTGTATTTTCGTGTGGATTTTGTGGTTGTATTCTCAGTTTCTTGATCTCGTTTGATTGAGTGGAAGATATATTACAGAAACAGAGATGATTTTGATTGGTTTCAGGACTGAAAGTTGCTTGAAATTGAGCTCAAAGTAGCAGAAATGTTCGATATTTGCCAATATTCCAGGGTACACAAATTTCGTCACTTGTCCAATACGCGTCCAACTGGTTGGTCTAATACACATTTAGGAAGGCTCTGACATTTTTTTATAAAATTATTACAATGCTGCAGTAGTCTGCATAAGAGTAAATTTTCTGTGTTTTTTTTTTTTTTTTTTTTTTGTGTGTGTGTGAATAAAAATTCAAAATAGAGAGTAAGCATAATATAGGAGGGGCCCAGAGACACAACTAATGAATAGAGGAAATGTTTTTTAGTGCCAGGAATGTCTACATTTTTTATTCTGGATCCTATTTTTAAATTGGCAGTTTTTAATTTTGTGGAATTGGCCAAATTACCAGTTGTTGATCACTTTATTGGATAGTTGAAATAGGTAAATGAGCAGTTTCTTGTGCTCGTAGTGAAAATAGCTACAAGTTTGGTTGACTGGAACATTGGAATTGACTGAAAATAGGGCTTAAATTGGGTGAAATTGCAATGCATGAATGTTGTCGAGATCACTAACTTTATGAGAGTGGAATTCTGATAAGTTTTCCATTTCTGCTCTTCTTCACATTTATCTTGGGGATAGCCAATTGTTTTGTTTGATGCACCTAACTTTTGATTGCTGTGCTGCGTGCCTGGCCTGTTTGTAGTCTTATATGTGCATAGTGTAAGCAGGCCCTTGGTCTAGGAGCCTTGTTATGCCAGGCTATGCTACCTACTTGTGATATATCTTATGTGTACATAGCATGTGGGCCTTGTCAGGTCATGCTTGCCTCTTCTGTATCATGGTCATCCCTACTTAGACTCTGCCTCAATAGCTACCTTCTCTTTTTCTTTTCTGTTGGTGCAATTCCAACTGAGCGAGCAATGATCTTATAGCAGAAAACTGCCTTTTGTAGGATACAAGATGGACACTTTTCAGTGTCAGGGACCATGGGAAAGACTCTGAGTTTCCAGTTCAGCTGATTTGGTTTCTGGATGCAAACTGGGTTGTGACAAATCATTCAGGCCTCAGCTGACCCCTGCTCACCGTACCTTTTGGGTAATAACTACTTAGTGGAGGTGAGCTAGGACTTATTAGAGCATTCTAAACCTTTACTAACTTTTTTCACTAAGGTATTTGAAGAGGCAGATCATAGTATTAAATATGATATTGTGTATATGGACATCAGTAAGGCTTTTGATAGAGTTCCACATCAGAGGCTATTGAGGAAACTTAAGGCACACAGAATAGGAGGAGAAATTTTTTCCTGGGTAGAGGCATGGTTGACAAATAGGCAGCATAGTTTGCATAAATGGGGAGAAATCAGAATGGGGGCACGTCACAAGCGGCATTCCACGGGTCAGTGTTGGGCCCCTTGTTAACTTGTTCACAATTGACATAAGCATAGATGAAGGAATAAATAGCGACATAAGCAAATTTGCTGATGACACCAAAATAGGCCGTCCAATTCATTCTAATGAGGACATTTGAGCACTCCAGGATGATTTGAATAGACTGATGCAATGGTCGGAGAAGTGGCAGATGCAGTTTAGTATAGACAAATGCAAAGTTCTAAATGTTGGACAGGAAAATAACCATGCCACATACAAACTAAATAATATAGATCTTAAAATTACTGATTGCAAAAAGGATTTAGGTGTTCTGGTTAGCAGTAATCTAAAACCAAGACAACAGTGCATAAGTGTTCATACTAAAGCTAACAGAATCCTTCGCTTCATATCAAGAAGTATAAATAATAGAAGTCCTCAGGTTGTTCAACTCTATCTTTGGTTAGGCCTCATTTAGATTATGCTGCACAGTTCTTGTCACCGTATTACAGAATGGATATGAATGCACTGGAAAACTTACAAAGGAGGATGACAAAGTTGATCCCATGTATCAGAAATCTTCCCTGTGAGGATAGACTGAAGGCCCTGAATCTGCACACTCTAGAAAGGCATAGAATTAGGGGGGACATGATTGAGGTGTATAAATGGAAAAGAGGAATAAATAAAGGGGATGTAAATAGCGTGCCAAAAATATCTAGCCTAGACAGAACTCGCAGCAGTGGCTTTAAGTTGGAAAAATTCAGATTCAGGAAGGATATAGGAAAGCACTGGTTTGGTAATAGAGTTGTGGATGAATGGAACAAACTCCTGAGTACTGTCATAGAAGCTAAGACGTGTAGTTTTGAAAATAGGTTAGATAAATACATAATATAAAACTGGGATGCTTGAATGTGCGTGGATGTAGTGCAGATGACAAGAAACAGATGATTGCTGATGTTATGAATGAAAAGAAGTTGGATGTCCTGGCCCTAAGCGAAACAAAGCTGAAGGGGGTAGGGGAGTTTCGGTGGGGGGAAATAAATGGGATTAAATCTGGAGTATCTGAGAGAGTTAGAGCAAAGGAAGGGGTAGCAGTAATGTTGAATGATCACTTATGGAAGGAGAAAAGAGAATATGAATGTGTAAATGCAAGAATTATGTGGATAAAGTAAAGGTTGGACGCGAAAAGTGGGTCATAATAAGCGTGTATGCACCTGGAGAAGAGAGGAATGCAGAGGAGAGAGAAAGATTTTGGGAGATGTTAAGTGAATGTATAGGAGCCTTTGAACCAAGTGAGAGAGTAATTGTGGTAGGGGACCTGAATGCTAAAGTAGGAGAAACTTTTAGAGAGGGTGTGGTAGGTAAGTTTGGGGTGCCAGGTGTAAATGATAATGGGAGCCCTTTGATTGAACTTTGTATAGAAAGGGGTTTAGTTATAGGTAATACATATTTTAAGAAAAAGAGGATAAATAAGTATACAAGATATGATGTAGGGCGAAATGACAGTAGTTTGTTGGATTATGTATTGGTAGATAAAAGACTGTCAACTTCATACGGTAGGGTTATAATTGAAAGAATTAGAGGTAAGACAGAATGTAGAATTGCGGATGAGCAAGGAGGCTTCAGAGCGGGTAGGGGATGTGTAGATCAAGTGTTTACATTGAAGCATATATGTGAACAGTATTTATCTAAAGGTAGGGAAGTTTTTATTGCATTTATGGATTTAGAAAAGGCATATGATAGTGGATAGAGGAGCAATGTGGCAGATGTTGCAAGTTTATGGAATAGGTGGTAAGTTACTAAATGCTGTAAAGAGCTTTTATGAGGATAGTGAGGCTTAGGTTAGGGTGTGTAGAAGAGAGGGAGAATACTTCCCGGTAAAAGTAGGTCTTAGACAGGGATGTGTAATGTCACCATGGTTGTTTAATATATTTATAGATGGGGTTGTAAAAGAAGTAAATGCTAGGGTGTTCGGGAGAGGGGTAGGATTAAATTATGGGGAATCAAATTCAAAATGGGAATTGACACAGTTACTTTTTGCTGATGATACTGTGCTTATGGGAGATTCTAAAGAAAAATTGCAAAGGTTAGTGGATGAGTTTGAGAATGTGTGTAAAGGTAGAAAGTTGAAAGTGAACATAGAAAAGAGTAAGGTGATGAGGGTATCAAATGATTTAGATAAAGAAAAATTGGATATCAAATTGGGGAGGAGGAGTATGGAAGAAGTGAATGTTTTCAGATACTTGGGAGTTGACGTGTCGGCGGATGGATTTATGAAGGATGAGGTTAATCATAGAATTGATGAGGGAAAAAAGGTGAGTGGTGCGTTGAGGTATATGTGGAGTCAAAAAACGTTATCTATGGAGGCAAAGAAGGGAATGTATGAAAGTATAGTAGTACCAACACTCTTATATGGATGTGAAGCTTGGGTGGTAAATGCAGCAGCGAGGAGACGGTTGGAAGCAGTGGAGATGTCCTGTCTAAGGGCAATGTGTGATGTAAATATTATGCAGAAAATTTGGAGTGTGGAAATTAGGAGAAGGTGTGGAGTTAATAAAAGCATTAGTCAGAGGGCAGAAGAGGGGTTGTTGAGGTGGTTTGGTCATTTAGAGAGAATGGATCAAAGTAGAATGACATGGAAAGCATATAAATCTATAGGGGAAGGAAAGAGGGGTAGGGGTCGTCCTCGAAAGGGTTGGAAAGAGGGGGTAAAGGAGGTTTTGTGGGCGAGGGGCTTGGACTTCCAGCAAGTGTGCATGAGCGTGTTAGATAGGAGTGAATGGAGACGAATGATACTTGGGACCTGACGATCTGTTGGAGTGTGAGCAGGGTTAATATTTAGTGAAGGGATTCAGGGAAACCGGTTATTTTCATATAGTCGGACTTGAGTCCTGGAAATGGGAAGTACAATGCCTGCACTTTAAAGGAGTGGTTTGGGATATTGGCAGTTTTGAGGGATATGTTGTGTATCTTTATACGTATATGCTT